GGAGAACAGAACACTTAGATAAAAATAACCTGGACAGAAATGGAGAACAGAACACTTAGATAAAAATAACCTGGACAAGAAATGGAGAACAGAACATTTAGATAAAAATAACCTGGACAAGAAATGGAGAACAGAACATTTAGATAAAAATAACCTGGACAAGAAATGGAGAACAGAACATTTAGATAAAAATAACCTGGACAAGAAATGGAGAACAGAACATTTAGATAAAAATAACCTGGACAAGAAATGGAGAACAGAACATTTAGATAAAAGTTATCTGGACAAGTAATGGAGAACAGGATTTTTAGATAAAAGTTATCTGGAAAAGAATTGCAACAATATATAAAAAAATCCATAATTTTCATTAGCTCAAAGTATGAAATGACGTAAAAATAGTGTGAGGCATGACACTTAGAGTTCTGTCAGTGCACTTCAACCATTTCATAATGTACTGTTTGGATGTCTTGTTTCCTTACAATCATCACCACTCACTAAGTAAAATGCTACAATATCCCAAAGTTCATGTGACTGTGAGAAAAACAAGAGATGGTTCAAATATTTCCTATCATACATATGTAACAAAGCTACAGAAATTCACATCAAATGCTTTATCAACTTTTAATTTCTGCCATAATAACACTTGGAGAGTATCTACCACACACAAACACACTGTACTTAGAGTTCCCGCCATACATATGCTGGAGCAAATACACGATACGCAAAATCATTTTGTGTTTTTTTTTGGTGCCATAATATTACTATAAGTTCTTTGGACTGGTGCTTTATTTGTACAATCATTTTGACTTTTTTGCCATATTTTTACTAAAGGTTCTTTTGACAGGTGCTTTATCAGTTGCTTTCATAGACTGGTGAAGAGCTTCCCACAGTTTTATCACAGAGTTTGAATTCTCTAGAATCTGTGTTAGTTCATCCTGTGTTTTGGTCATTAAGTTGGCAAGACTGGTCACTTTCATCATCACTTTCCGGATGTTTTTAGTGCTGATTCCAGGAAGATGACACAGAAAATCCTGAAAATAGAGAAACAGAAAAACAAACCCATTAAAATCTTACCACATATTACCACATGTTTTAAAAATATTTTGTTTCAACTACACATTATGTTGTTGAGACAGTACCAAAACTAAAAATTATTTTCCAGTAACTTGTGAAATCTAACCAATATAAAAAGTTAGTATGTGTCACATCATGCTTGATTTCTTGAAACAGGAAGAGTCATAAAAGCCAAGATGCATTTATCCAGATAGAATAGTTCAGTTACTGTCTGTCTATTACAATTTTAGTGACGGGGGTGCAAGGGGGCCATGAAACCTTATAAGTGTAGTGAGTATTGGTGTAATAAGCCTAAAGTAAAGACGTAGTATGGAATCACCTGGCCTAGAGCTAAGTGCATAAAATTTATCATGAAAGTAAAAATATTGATTCAATTTTAAACTTAAATCATTTGTGAATTAAGCTATTTTCTGTTATATCACCAATGCTTTTAATAAAAACAAACCTCTTTAATCAACAGAGACTCTAAATTATAAAATCAACAAATATTTTTCC